CCCGCCAGCCCGCGGCTGCTTCTGACGTTCCTTTCACTTCCTGAGCGGAGGGGGCGGCCCGAAGAACCGCCCGCCCCACGGCCGCTGCCTGGGCCGGGCTCGGGCCCGCGTCAGGCGCGGCTGAGGCGGAGCGGCGGCCCTGGYTCGGCCCCGGCTCGGCCCCCGCCCCTCGGCACGGCGGGGATTGTGCCACGCCGGCGGCCTTCTCGGAGCGACATGGGCCGTGGGCTGACCGTGCTCCTGCTGCCGCTGGCGCTGCTGGCGGCCCCGGCGCGGGCCCAGGGCGGCCCGGCGGCGGCGGAGGAGGTTCAGATAGAGGTGCTGCACCTCCCCGAGGCCTGCAGCCCGAAGAGCAAGAAGGGCGACCTGCTGAACGCGCACTATGACGGATTCTTGGCTAGCGACGGATCCAAGTTTTACTGCAGGTGAGCCCCCGTGGCACTGGGTCGGGGCCGGACGGTGGGTCCTGCCGGGCGGGGTGCGTGGCACAGCCCGCCCGCTCACCCTAAGCCGGATAARCGGGACTCGGGCGCTCCCGGCGTGGGCAGATTTCGGGGCCCGCACTGACCATATCAGCATCAGTATTTCCCCGTTTCAGCCTTTATTTTTTCTCAGCCGAGTGTTGAAGGTTGCAGAGTTTCACTAGGGTCAAGAGGGAGCGCAGAGGCAAAAGATGGAAATCAAAGACGGCTTTGGTTGAGGCTGCCGGCCGTCGCCAGTGAAGGGGGCTAACAGAGCGTGTAGACCACACTTCGCATAGAGAACCCCCTTGGCAGGGTGGAAAAAATGAACCCCATCATGTTGTCACTTGCCATGTTCTGTGCTCTAATACGTGCAGAAAAACTCAGGTTGGGAGGAGGAGCTCCTGGTAGGAATGCATACTGACAATTTTAGGCAGAAACTTGAATATAGCATGCAATTCCACATTGTTGGCACTGTGCAGCGCAGCCACATTATTACACTACTGGTTTGCACTTTTTGCCTCTTCCCTGTTGCACTTTCCCTTCTGGATTCGTTGTGCCATCCGTTTTACCACAAAGTTATAATTTAGGCTTTTGCTTTTTCACTTTACCCCATCCGTCTAGCCTCAAATAATAGCTTAGCTTATTACAAAATCTTGGTTCATTCCCCCCACTTCTGTAATTTACAAAAAAAAATCAATAGAAGATAATTCTTTATTGACCTGTACTGTTCCGCTTGCATTTCTTTGTGTGTTGAAGTGATGAGTTTGGAACATAGAGTGTTGCTCTCTGGATCTTTTGCTGAGTCGTCGTTCAGTGTAGGGCCCATACTGGGGATGCCTCATTTGACCAGAAGCTGCCTCAAGCACTATGTGAACTGGCCAGAGTGGTGGGGGAGCACACAGTACTGTAGCCAACATTGCCAGCTTCCCCCAAAACACACCTGCATTCTCCATCCCATCCCGTCCTACAGTGATGTGAACTGCTGAAAACATCTTCACTTCTTTTTAGTGCTCCCCACATTCCTCTTCTTGGAGACTTCCTGCAGTGGCACCTTGTGTCTGGCATGCAGTGTACATGGTCAGGAAGATGACATGTTTTTGTAACAAGTTAAAAAACAAGGATTTTTGATTTTAAAAGGAGGTTTGTTTCCCATTACACATATCAAGATTTGACCTGAAATTTTATATGTAGCAGAAAAAGTGTTTATATTCTTGCACTCCAAACATTCTTGTGTGCTGTTAATCTATGTTCTTACTGACTGCGACTTAAAGTTCTATTTATGTAAAACAAAATTAAATTTATTCTTACTCATACACAATTTTTTCTAATAGTCGGACGCAAAATGAAGGTCATCCAAAATGGTTCGTTCTGGGTGTTGGACAAGTCATAAAAGGCTTAGATATTGCTATGATGAATATGTGTCCTGGAGAAAAACGGAAAGTGATAATTCCTCCATCATTAGCATATGGACAGCAAGGATACGGTAAAAAAAGAAATTTTAACTCTAAACTTTGTCTTTCCTCTCTTTTATCCTTTTAAACAGACAGTATTGTAAACGTCTGTAAGAGCTGGTGCTTCCTTTTGGAGGCAGTGCAGCTGTGCAGCCCCAGTTCTGCTCATTGTTCTGCAGTTTAGGTAGTCCTGATCACAGACCTACACCCAGGCCTTGCAGTTTGCATAAGAACTCAGTACAAGCCACCCAATGTGTTTTCCCAAGTATTGCCATAATATGAAAAATTGGCAGCAAAAGGAAGATCTTCATGATCCCTATCAGCATTATTGTGTTAATCTATTAAATCCCAGTCATGTTTGGTTTTTATTATTTGATTGCTACCTGTTTAGCCTTTAATGATAATCTGCATCTTCTGAATAAAATGCAATATAATGCAGTGCAATTAGTCTGAGCAGAAATAATTTGCTTAAAATGCTGCTTACACTCTGAGTAGTTAATGGGTCTCATCATCACGTTACAGAGTAATTGGAGCAGTGCAATGCATGAAATCTGATTTGAATATAAGCTAATTTAGTCTGCAGATTACTTTCAAAAAAGTTCCAGTACAAGTTGTATGCAGTGTTTCAACACTCAAATGTGGATAATTTCAGCTCTGACATGGTTATAGTAGTTTCTGGGAAAAGGTAGCTCCTTCTCTATAATAATACTTTGGTGGTGATATGTTAGAATTTAATGCATTAGTTTTGTCTATAATAAAATTTCATACAAAAAAGGAAAAACAGTGATACAAATAAAGAATGTTCTTTAATACTAATGTTAACTGTTTGTTCCAGGTAGCCCTTGAAGAAAGTAGTATTTTCCTACAGTACACCTGTCCTCTGTCTGAGCATATTCCTGCATGCTGAGGAAGATGCCTGCCTAATCTTGAATTAGAAAAGATGCATGTGGCTTTCTAAATCTTTACATATCTTTTCTTTGTTGGTATGTATATTTGTAAACTACTGGCACTGAATTCTAATATTCTTTCTTTTGAAAGTGATATTTAAATCATGATTTATATTCAGACGTACTTAAAATTTCTACTTTTCTGAAGCGTGAAAAGTTAAAATCTTTTGAACGCTGAAACCTGTAATTTTTACAATGGCTATTTTAGATGAGTAGTGTAATAGTTGTGTTTATCTTCTGTTTACAAACAGTGTAGATTCTTTAGCTTTTCTTCAGTTTATGAAAAACGAGCACAAGCTCAAAATTCTGAGGTTACAGTGTCATGCTGACTAGCTTTGGCAGCTTGCATGTTTTCACATTTTAATTTTACACTGCATGATTTCTTGATGCTCTTTTGGCACTATTTTTAGACCTCATTGGTTTGTTACTTTCTCTTTTAAGTTCCCTTTTTTTGCCAGATACACAATACATGGACCTGTGTTTGTAGGCAGTGCTAGTTTTACATCAGGTGTTAGAAAACACTCTGATCTGGGAATAATGAATTCTAACAGTTGTTTGTTTTTTTAATTCAGAGACCAGGCAAAGTATTCCAGTAGTTTGGGGTTTCTRTGGGTTTTTGGGGTTTTTTTTGTGACTCAGATGACTTACATTCTACTGCTTCTTTATGAGATGTACATTTTAAACACGATTTTACATTGGGTTCTTTTACATTATGTATAATTCATACAAAGTAGGTAAAACATTTTATTGTCTGCTTATTTCTTCAGATAGAAAATACATATGAGCGTTGGTCAATTACTATTATATTTTAAATCAGAGTGCAGCTGTTTGATAAAGACATACATCTCAGAATCAGTGTCTAAATAATACCTGTCATATGACAGGATGTTAAAGAGTGAGAACTCTAGAAATGCTTGTTTTTCATGACAACCATTCACTTCATTTCTGAAAGTACCTGAATTTGATAGTTTTGTCTCAGGCAAGTACATGATTAGAAAGTTTCTCTCGAAATCATTTATCTAATCAAACAATCTTCCTATCTAGATGTACAACATTTAAATTCAGAGTTTAATCTGAATATTAACACAGCCTGTTTTCATTAAAAAATGCTTTATATGCAACTTTATCACACATGTGATCTCTGTCCGTGGTCTCTGATTTCTTAAATGCTTTTTTTTTTCTTTTATTCATAGCACAGGGCAAGATTCCACCCAATGCAACACTGATCTTTGAGATTGAACTTTATGCAGTTAATAAGGGACCTCGTAGTGTTGAAGCTTTTAACCAAATAGACAAAGATGGTGACAAGAAACTCTCTGAACTTGAGGTAATATGATGTAAATTATTTTAAATTAATAATTTATAAAACTATCGTTATAGCTGCATCAGTTTCATTTTCCCATGAGCTGCCTCTGCTACAGTTGATCATGTAAGGTTTCTGTGTGCTTGCACAAATTACACAGTGCAATGCTGAAATTTGCTTTAATATATTAATAAGACTCAGACTTCCTGCAGACAAACTGTAAATGTGTCTGCACTGGAATCACAATACATTACTTGTATGCCCTCAGTGTCCTCGAAGATAGCCGTTGAGTACTGGCATAAAAGTCAACACAGCTGGACTTTTTTCTTTTCTTCTAGATAAGCCAGTATTTGAAAGAGGAATTTGCAAGAGATGGCAAAAAGCGTCATCCCTCGGCCCATGATGAAATCTTAGCTGATATATTTAAGAAAAACGACCATGATGGAGATGGCTTCATATCAGCAAAGGAGTACAATGTCTACCAGCATGATGAACTCTAAATACTTTAAAAAATCTGTGGCTGTTTTCTGGACACTGAATTCTGAATAATAATACTTTGTCACAGATTTTTTGGGGTTTTTTTTTTATAGTTGCATCTTTTTATATCAAAGTGGCTGTAAAAATATTATTTTTAACATTCAGCTAATAAAATGTGTTAGATGTTTCAAAATAAAGAAATCAAATTGAAATAGACCATGATCTAATATTAGTGGTTCCTACAACATTCCAGTCTACAGTACTGCACAGTAGTGTCTCATTTGGTCAAATGCTGATGAAAATTATTATTATTTCTGTTCTGTTGAGCACACAAAAGTTACAGTAACCTTTGACATAGCTGGAACATAACTTTCAATCCCCTGTAAAATAAACAGGGAAGGCAGAATCCCAGAAATTTAACTCTCTTAGACCCCTGCAGGCTCCTTGCCTTGCTTCTTGAGGAAAGGCCATTTGCAGCAATTAGCTAAAAAAGACCTTAAAAATAGGTGAACTCTGTCTGTGGAATGTTAAGATAAAMATATTTTAAAGCAGCTTAAAATAACTCCTGTGATATTAACATAAGGACTTCAGTGTTGAAGAAAAAGCAGTATTTTAAGTGAATTTTTAAACGTTGACTTAGTAAAGTCAAGTTAGTGAGTTTATTCAGCAGCACCAAGTTAAAAATCTACACTATCCTCACTCAATTTACTGAGGTCGAAGATGATGGGAGATACTATATATAAGCATAASTAATTAATTACTTGGGCATTATTCTGGTTTTCCTCACTGGAAATAAGCAAAGAAGAGCAATAGTTAAGAGACGGTACTTTTATCTCATAAACTGTTCTGCTTGYGCAGAACACATCATAACACTTGTGTAACATACTTCACTCTTCTCACCTGAAGAGCAGTGGCTGTACCTGTCAACATGTAATAATCAGATATGCACAGTGAAAGTGGCAGCACAAATCAAAAAACTTCCATATTTGGGTTATCCTTGAAATAATTTAAAAAAGTATAAAAAGGTTTTTTGCTTTGCCAGTGAAAAACAGTGGTGAGAGGTTTAATAGTACCCTGCTCCACAGCACGCCCAGTCCCAGCCCTGGACACAGCTCTCTGGTGTTCCAGTCCTCAACACTTAATTTCCTGAGGCTGGGATGCACCTGTTAAAGAACTTCATCCCTCAAGTCTTGTTGGAGTGTGCAGTTCCATTATTTTCATAAGCTTCCAAACCATTTTCTACTAAGATTTTTTTTTTTTCTGAGCACATAAAGGAAAGTCAAGAACAGCTGTGACATGAAATCCAACTGCAGCAGRTGGACTGGCTGTTTCTTTTCAATAATCTAAACAAACTTGATATACGGTGACAGCACCCTAATATGAAACTCCCATCCATAGTTTCAGTTGTTCCCTTTTTTAACTGAAACATTAGACTGAGCTAAGTTTTAGTGTGTTTTTTAATCCGATACTTCARTTAAAAATTCATGAGAACACTAAATTATTAACAAATATTCTCATTTAACCATCATATGCCAGTGTAGAGAAAGGCAACATTTTGGGGGTATAATAACAAGTTTGTGTAAACAACTTTAAGTACTAACAATATATTTTGACATTATGAAAATATTGTTTAAAAGTATGTTTATCATGATAATGAGAAGGTTCTAGAAAAAAACAGCAATGTCAGGGAATGCAAGTGGGTATTTTAAAGTAGCAAGTCATTGACTGTGAAGCAAAGAATTCAAAGATAACAGCGTAATAAAATGTTTTGCACTTTCACTGCTTTGCATTTCTCAATTTGAGTCATATTTACTAACTCTGGAAAGTTTGTGGCACAGTTATGCCCATGTCTGTGACTTGGGCACTTGCCCAGGTCAGTTACTTCATTCTCTTATGCCAGAGRTCAAAACAGGGCACTGCATGCAGTCGTACATACTTATGTCCATTAAAAGAACACTCCAGGCATCCATAGACTGTCTCCCTTTTAGAACTTCCCATTCCACAAAGGACACAGGGGCCTTTGGGAATGTTGTTATTCAGTAAATTAATTCGGATATGAGAACCATCTCTGAGATAGCTTGTAGAGACATCAGTCATGCTCGCAGCTTTTTCATAATAATCTGCAAAAAGGTCCTCCAAGTAAGGATCAGAGTTAGCAACGATTTCCACTACTCCTTTATCTGAAAAAGAATGCACAAGAAAAGGAGCAATGATTTTTATTATATTATGAACTGTTGTTTAAAAAATGTCAGACTAATTATAGTAATAACTGATTCACAGAACTGTTCTAAGTATACCATATAGATTGCTTCCCATCAAAAACCCTGTGTGATGAAAATTTTTCTTCAGCATCAGTTAGTATACTGACAAAAGTCAGAATTTTTTGTATGTGACCTATGTAATTATGAGAAATAATTTTTAGAAATATACCTAAAAGATAGGCATGAGGCAAGCTTCTGARAAATGGATGCAAAGTCAAATCACAGCTGTGTACTTCCCTGTTTCTATTTCTGCATTTCYAGTTTTATATTCTAAACATTGTAAATGCACTTTTATTTCCTTTTATTTACAAAAATCCCAACATATTTTCTATGTTTAGAAAACTTGGAGGACTCCTTGTTGACCCCCTAGCAGATTTCTGAGCATTCAGACATGCCTGGCATACCTTTTCCCTCTCTCTTAAGTTACTGACTAGTTTAGCTTGAGTGAAAAACTTTTAGGCAGCTAGAGCTGCTGTGATATATCATACCCACTGAAGAYTTATTCACCTAGTGTGGAGTGGAGCAGCATTGAAGATTTGATCCATAAAAATCCCTTGATTAAGAATGGGATACGGTGGAGAAAGAACACCTACACTGAGCAGCCTTTGGAACATGTTTACTGTTCAGCATTTATCTTCACACTCAGATCTGCAGATTTCCAAAGTGCTTGGGCCAAGGAGTGTTAAAAGTTTRAGATCTTGGTCTAAAGCTGCACACAGGGATCATCAGTTTTGCTGGGTGTTGTGTTCATATAAGAACGATAAAAGAGAACTGTGATGGTATCTTGGCCATGTTCCTGCCATGGGAACATAGTGTCTAAGGAGTACGTTCCAATATTGCAGTTAATATTGTTCAGTATTTAAACTTACAGCTTTTGCCCTCTAATAGACTATCATTGTAACATGTATTGCATAACACAAGCTGTAAATGGCAAACACATGAAATGGATTCAATGTTAAGTCAGCTCTATAATTACTCAATACCAGTTTATCAACAGCCATMTATTTTCATTTTAAGATCTCTAGAGTTTGTTGAGCAGCAAGACCATGGATGCGTTATTTCTTAAGTCAGGTTTTCAGATGTAAATTTTAGTAACTATAATAATTTTAATACACTAGAAACTGAGAGGCACATTTTCCATCCTTTTTTTTTTCTTTAAACATTTGACTTGTATAGAAATTAAAGAAACAAAGATACACTTCTCATGCATTAAATAAGACATTTGTATATAAATATCAAAAGTCATACTTCGATAAAACAAATTATTCTTTAATCTCCTTAATTTGGTCAATGAAGATGATCCAGATTTCTCTCTTTCAAATCCTCCTTTTGAAATTGGAGTCACACAAAGTTCTGTAAAAGTTTTTAAAAGAGCAAAATATAAAAGCCGTAATTGCACAACAGTTTAATATGCTTTCTAATCAATAAAGTTAACAGTAATTAAATTTACCTTTTGCTTATGTTTTTAATGGCTAGTACAACTTTTTAATACAAGTCTGCACACAGTAATAGCCCACAGAATCGAGTAACACAGATTTGATGGATATTTTTAAATGTCAGTGGCTTTCAATTAACATTACCAGAACCTGTTTTGGATCATACAAATTATGGCCATGTTAAGGGGTTACAACAGTCAGTATCATACAAATDGAAGCCCTGATTCTGAAGGATAAACATTTCTGTAGTCTTGAGAGTAGAAGTGAAAAATAATAAGCAAGAGTGTGAGCTTGTACTTCTGAAGTACTTGYACTGAGAAGTACTCACTTCTTCCTATACTGAATCAACTATTAAAACATTTTTTAATAAAAATTAATTTTTAAAATAAAAATAAGTGTCATATATCTTTCTATTCACAACTTGAAAGAAAATCTTTGAAGTGAAATATAAGCAGCGCAATTTTTTTTATTAGTTTCTAATTGATGTGATTATTTCCTCCTAAATAACTTCAGATACTTATATGTGATAATGATGTATCAGACCAAAATTACAGCCCCAACAGAAAAAAAATGTTAGCTTAGTTTAGAAGCTGTACACTTTTTTCTTTACTTGTGTCTTTGTATTTGCCTATTTTATGCAAAAACAGAAGCCTGTTCCCTACCAGCTAGAAGTATAACTAAGTGGGGCTTTTTGTTCCATGCAACTGCAGAAATAAAAAAAAAAATACAGTCATTCTAACTTTTAAAAAATGTACCCACTGCAGAGAGTTTCCTAGCACCTGCTTGTTTATCTTTTCAAGCACTGTTTCTCTCAAAAAGTCAGAATTCTTATGCACATAAAATGAATGGCATCAGGGCTTATGTATATCAAGAGYAATAAAAGAGTTTTAAAAACTAAAATCAATATAAATAATTGCAGTAWTGACAGTAATTCACATCGCTTACCGAAATTACCATCCAAATGAATGTAGAGTTCAAACACACTAAAAGCAATAGTTGTRTGTGCAGGAAAAACAATGGCTTTGTCCCGCCCTTTAGAATTCTGATCTTCAATTATCTGAAACTGTAATTTAGAGAATCATCAAAAGGRAAAAAGTTACAAATTGAAGTGAATAAATAAGCAAAATACTAGCTTAACTGCATATATTGAGAATTATAATGCCAGGAGGAAACTTCAAACTTGAAGATCGAATTTCACAACTAAAGAATTTTCTATTAACAACTTTGCATTTTAATAAAGCTTGATACAGAGGGAGTAATTAGCATCACTTAGTGAAAATTATGTGAATGGTTTATAAATGGAAAAGTCAGAAGGCTTGTAGGTTTAATTATTCAAACACATCAAGGGGGAAGGGTGTGGAAAGGACATAAGACAGGGAGTGGGATGCTGACCCTTGAAATAATAGCCTGAAGTTCCAATGTGTTACAGAAGATGACCCTAATAATGAAAGGTTATGCATTTATCATAAAGTCCAACTRAGAAGTAGTAAATTCCACATTTTTGCTGAGGCTTTACCCCAAGCAATGGCTCATTGTCTAGCCATCCTTTCATGCATTTCCCATCCCTCAGTCACATAAGCACTGCTAATGAAAGACCAACTTCTAAATTACTTTACATCAGTACCATTACACTGATTCATTTAAGACTTTTTTTCTAAGCTTACATTATAAAAACAGAAATCAAACCATATTTTATAAAAATGAGGTTTTCATGCTTAATTATTTAAGTTMCAGAACTTTGTCAAGTATATTTACCCTCATTGTCTCTCCACGCATTCCAGTATGGACAGTTAGTGAGCACTGTCTTGTAGTTCGAATACTTTCCATGACCACACACAAAATTTCCATCCTACTTTTTCTTGACTGATGGACTAGACAATGATCAAAGTTTATTTTTCTAAAATCAAGAGGGAGGCAGGARGGAAATTCAGACAATTAGCAGTTTATAAAGCAGCTAAGTTATTTATTTATCAGTAAATAAATCACCACAATGTCTATTTCATAGCAGTAAAACAACTGACCAAGGAGATCTCTGGAAACTTAATATTGATTTTCAGTATTTGGGAACAGAAGAACCAAAAAATTCAAGCAAAGCCAGTATTGTACAAATGTTAGCGAGGATACATGGGACACCCCTGAAAATTCAAAGCCTGTCYACCTAACTCTGGTTTTAGTACCAGTAACTGAAAACAAACCTATATCACTTACAAACAATTGTGAACAATCATGAAAGAAGTGTTTGTAAAAGTATTTCTACAAACAGTGGCAGTTCTATAACACTGAATYTTTTTTCAGGAGACTAGATCCTCTGTCCTCACCCCAGTTATTAATGACAATGTTTGAAGGTCAGAAATAAACSAGGTTAAGTTAGGTACAGAAGCAGAGGTTACAGATGCAAAATGGCATGCACTGCTTGGTAAATAACAGGGTAGCAATATACATCTTTGCAAATGCTAAACGTTGCATCATGCATAGTAAAGCATTTACTGGGATGCACTGCTGGGATTCACTGGGATTGTGACCACGGGACAATCTTTGAAATATGACATAAAGAATTACACCTAGAATTTGTCACATAATGTTTCTACATGTTTAACATTTATGATAGCACCACGGGAAGACCAAGTTAATTTTCAGTGTTCACAGCTTAACAAGAATGTTGGTAAAAGAGTCTGGATTTAAAGAAAAGTCATAGAAGGTTATGAAAAAATCAAGTAGATAAACTTATTTTGCTTTTTCAGAAAAGGCTGTCTAATAACTTCRTAAAACCTTCAAGTACCTAATAATATATGGCTCTCTAGTTCATGAAAGGCAAACAAATCCTATTTCTGAAACATGAAGTTAGGTAACGCAATTCATAGTAAATTTCAAATTTTCAATACTATGGTATAACACAGATGGGAGTTTGGAGAGACTCTTCATTTCTGAATTCAGGGTTGGTTTTTTTTTCTGAGATGCATCATAATTCAAAGAATTTAGAAAAATTGTACAGTCTTATCCCAGTGATCCAAYCTGATACCTCTGAAAATATCAGATGGTGACTGCTACTGATTGACTAAAAATAATCAAAACCTAACAACTTCAGTCTTTCAACATAACTGTAAGGAATATAATTATGGAAACAGAAATTAGAATATAACCTTGTGGTAAGTTCTTTAAGTAATGTTGGTACTTCAACTTCRTGTTTGGTCACTATGCCAAATGAAGCTTTAAAGGCGATGGAATCTGATCCAGCAACATCAAAACCAACATCATTCATTATCTGATTTCCTTTTCTACCATTAAGCGAAACATCTGATTTGTCTTCGTAGTTGAGCAACTGGTAAGATGAGACACCTGAGTAAAAGAAAACAACCTTTGTGTGATGAAAAGTCTGAACACAGTATTTTCACACAGCAAGAATAAATGGTACCATTCCTGCCATGCTACCTACAATTAACCATTTTGATGTGAAATTCAGAGCTACACTGAACACTTGTTTATTAGTGTTACTATGGATGATTGATGGAAAGAGCACACAGGAGTCAGAGGGTTTCTGTGCCTCTCKCTGGCAGAGTTGTGTCCATGCTCCTGGGTGTGATTAGAGCTATTTTCTGATTTCTGTGTTCATCATTATTCTCCTCAAGTAGTACTACCTGTAACTTTGATGGTGATATATATAAATTGCACATGTATTGTGTTCTGGCTTTAATAGCAGAGGCTCTGAAACCCAAAATGACTCAGTGGAGGCCACACAGAATATTAAAACTAGGAATTAAAAATAAGCACAAAAATATTAGGGAACTCTGAATTTTGTCTAGATGMCATTCAGATACCCTATGAATGAGAMATGGGTGTGCCASCAACATTAACTCTRTCTTCGACCTGAGATGTCCCATTTAGAAAGACTTACCACACTTTCYATGGATGCTTATTGATTCCAGGGACTATGTCAATTTATTCTGAAGGTAAACAACAGATTAATTCTGACTTTCTCAAAAGTTTGCATTCAATTATTGTACAGTCAAAAGGTAGGTACCAAATAATTTCTATAAAAACATCTTTGTGATATTAAATACATTTCCATTACACTAAAAGAAAAAATACTAGAATGCATTGGTTACCAAATTAAAATGAACACAGGGATTAGATTTCCAAATACATCTAAGAATCTGGGGTTTATGCCTTTTTTTGTTTTTAATCCTTTSAAGTTTTTAGGATAAACTGACATTATGAAGTAATCTAGTATGAATCCCGTTTGTGTTTATTTTTAACCACAAAAAAGGTTAATATATTTTTCATAATGCTAAAAGGATTGCAAACACTTGTCTTTGTCACATTAAAAAGGAAATTCAATTACAAACCTTTTTGCTTACGTTAAAGGACAATACTTTCTGCGCATGACATTTAACCTTTACAGAGAAGACTAGTAAGGTTCTTCAAGACTTTTTAATGAGGTTTTGCAACCTTTTTCTCAGACTTTTTAATGAGATTTTTCAATTTTTTTTTTATTCAGGACAAGCCAGCTGAATTCTCCTGAATGTAAGACATAGGATTGCAATTTTTCTTATCATGCTTGCATCCTCTTGTGGGATCAAGTAGTATTTCTGTCTTCTTGTGCTCATACTAGTTTGTCTTAGTGGAGTTTTTAACCAATGCATTTGTTGTGCAATTAATATCATAAATGCTTTTGTCAATATTGACATATTTAATAATTTAAAAAGAGTTAAGCTCTTTAATTACACCAARGACATTGCAAACCTGGAAAAAGTCTTATGAAAATGCAATTACATCAGTCAGATGTAATAGCTGTGGTCAAATGCTTCTCCCTGTGCAGAGCCCAGTTCAGGGACTACCAGCATGGAGCAGCTGCAGAACTCAGGCCATTCTTACACATTTAAAAGTGAGTATACAGGGAAAGGTGTACATTTCTAAGCAATTTTTTTGTAGCAATTAATCAACACACATCAGTACATCCCTTAGGAATCTGTGGTTTGTGAAAAAACAAGGCTTAACTGAATTTAATACTGGTTCAAGACATATCAAGGCTTTTTAGTATAATTTTTTTTTTTTTTTTTTGCTGAAAGTCCTTTTTTTCATTTTTTCTTGTCATTTTGATTTGTACTTTTTTTATTAAATATTTATTACATGACTAAGCAAGAAAAATATTATTTTTTTTTTTTTTTTTTAAAGTCCTTCTTTTCATTTTTTCTTGTCATTTTGATTTGTACTTTTTTTATTAAATATTTATTACATGACTAAGCAAGAAAAATATTATTACCCATTTGCTAAGGAAATATCATACTATCTACACAGTTTAAACTATATTTACCGCTCTGTATTTACTAGAAAGCATGCATTTTTCTACTTCGAAGAAAGATAAAAATCTTACCTGCAGAAATTTCTTTCTCTCCTTGAAGAATGTCTTTTAATGTGAAAGGTGTTGAAGCAAATTTAGATTTTTTTGAAAGTGAACATTTTCTTTTTTTAATCACAAGGCTCAGAGGTTGGTATCTATCAGCTTCACTGAGGCTGGGCACTGGAACTAGTCTTCCTCCATCACCAACCTGTTTAACAAAGTTTTTGGTTGCAGCAGCAAACATATTATGACATTAGTAATGATAATAATAAGTGTAGCTTCCAGACATCAAGTGTAGCTTCCAGACATCAAGCCCATGTTCAGTTCTTTTCGTATGGCTCTTGCAAACAAATTCACATGCTTTAAAAAAAACTCTATCAAACTGATTTGGTTTTTTTTTTAAGATTGAGTTATATTTCACYTGGAAAGAATCAACAGCATCTTTAACTACTGAACTTCTGTGGTGTATTGCATGAGACCTCCCTCAGAGCCTTTCAGTCGAGCTCTAATTCTGCACGATGAATAATGAATTACCACTGTAAACTGAGAGGGGAATGGTGCCTTTTTGTTGGCAGTTTAATGCCACTCTTTGAAATCAAAATTAATTGTCATAGAAACAGAAAACTAACTTCCGCAAGCCTCAGGTTCCCTTTAGAGGTTACTGGTGTGCTGCTGTTCGCTGGGTCCTTGCTGCAGCTGAATTCTGGTGTTTTACCAACATMCCAAAAAGCAGCCCGGGCACGCTCTGGGAGGCCACTGGAATTACAYCCTGATGAGCACTGGGAGCTCTCTGAGAGGTGTTGCCTTTCACAGCACTGGCATAACCTGCCTGGGAGAGCTCAGCTGGGCCTGAAGTGTAAGATCAGAGATGGGGACAGGGGGGAAACAGCAGATTAATGTTATTAATCTAGGGATTAATCTCCTAGCCCTGTGACCCAAGGGCTAGGCTTTAGCACAGACTGCTGAAAAACTCACTGGATTGTGAGAATTATGCAAAATAATAAAAGTAAAATTGCAAAAAGAAGTGAGAGAGGAATGAGGAGCAACTTAAGCATCCAAGATAAAAAGCACCAGCGTAAAAATATGGTAAATTGTAAAGAAAAAGAAGAGACAGTATAGAGCACTGTGGATGATCCATGAGAGAGGAAGAGAGAGCCAACCCACTGTCATGTAAACAATGACTTGATTTTCCTGCAAGACTGATGAACACAGAACTGGCTTAACCCTGTAGTACTTCTTCCCAGAGATTCCCTTTGCAGTTATAGCAGGTAATGCATCACTTTAGTAGCAATATTATCCTGGTTGCCAGRTAACAATTGGTTTGATTGGCTTTTATTTCTGAAGTAAGGCTTTCATGTGAAACTATCTTAAAGACTGTTTTTATAATATGAACACTTATTTAACAACTTCCCATTTGTCAATACTTCCGCAAACATTTTTGAAAGTTCAGAGTATCAGGAAGTCCAACAAAAAGAGGAGTGCATTACCTCAGCTAAGATGAAAGGAAAGGCTGCTGGATCWTTCTGCTTACTCTAGAGGGTGCTGAAAAAGCAAGTCAGGTTATATATGGACTTTGAATTGAAAACATGCAAAAGGCTGCAATTAATTCTGGCTGCAATTCATACTACACTATCAGAAAAATCTTGTACATATTCACTCAATCAAAACACATTAACAGAACTGAAAAGATTTTGAAGGGAAGGAAAAGATAAGGCAATTCTAAAATTAAAATTGCCTGATTAATCCTGTATATATGTTACATGTTTGACAGGATATTATTTTTCCTACAGATYATTAAGCCCAGCTGGCACTGTTTATTCAACATGTATTTGTATTTTTCTTGCTCAGTATGCGGTCACAGATCATACTCAATCTGATCTACCTCTAATTTTGATAATGAATACTTTCATTTGCTATGTTTGCATGCTATTCCTGTTACTCTAACACCCTRTAATCCACCATAAATGCTCCAGCAGATGTTTGTGTTGTACTCACGCTTCAGATCAGAGAACAGGAGTCCAAGTACAGTAACATTGCCTGTTCTGAAAACATTCACGAATTTCACACATCCAAGTGAAGAAACTTCAGTTATTTCCTTGCTCCTCCAGCACCAGGCACTTTAGTACTTGGTACACAAGTGTACTTATGAAATTCCAGCAATTCTGCAGCCTGGCATGCTCTCATTTTGGGCAATCAATAAATGAAAACATTTAATTTCCAAGTGCATAAGTTATGCCTGAGTCATTACCGGAATAAAGAAACCTTGCCTTGTCTCACCAAGTTGCGCCAATTAAAATCCTTGCTCACATTTGGGCTCAAGGCTTTCCCTGGGGAGGATCTGGCCTGAAATGTTGTGCTCCCCTTGGCACAAAGCCACATAAGGCCCTGAGAAGGCATCCCCTCTGCCTGCTCCACTCACGACCCTTCACAGGACTTTTCCAGCCTGATTATCTCCCCTGCAGGGAAGAGCAAGGTAGTTTATTTCCTGTGTGAGTTCTGTTTGTTCAGTGGGTCTTAGCCATGGAGTAGTAACAGAGCAAGTATTAGTGATGTATAGTTGATTATTTTTATGCTTAAATACAGTATTATTTTCCTTGCATCATATTGATATGAACATGGAGATTTTAAAGAGTAAAATCTAGAGGACAGTCCTGCTCTCCACATAATACCGGAGGATGCAGAAGGTTTTTTGTAGTTATTAGGTAATTCCATAATGACTTTTGGTTAATACTAGATAGGCTACATTATCCCTTGAAGGAATGTTGGGTACCTATAATTACAGGATGTTKAAAGAGGCATTTATAAACTGATCTAAAGTGGTGCAAACTAGAGATTTGTCCAAGGAACTGAAAATGTGGAACTATTTCATTATTTTTAATCCAGAAATCTAAAACCATCTGTAATCTGCATGAACTGATCTGATTTTAATTTGTTTCTTGTCACAGTCAACCATATAATAAGATTAGCATTATTAAGCAGTCAGTTGAAGGGAGGAAAAAAACCTTAACTGACTGGATAAACTTAGTTGGTGTTTCACTTGAAAGGATTAAACCCACAATCTACACCAAATTATGCTGGTAATTTATTTAGTATCTTCTCAGTGAACAAAAGGATGCCATCATTTCCCAGGTCTCCTGGCRACTGAACAGGAGTGTACCATGTACACTCCAAGTTCCCTCGAACTGTATCACATTTACCTACAGATCTCTGCAAAAATAATAAGTGCAAGAATTGGACATATAAAAATCAGCAAAAGAAAATGCTGCTGAAAAAAAAATTGCTCACAAAATTCCATACTAAGCATATGGCATAGTATTTCCCTGGAAAGATAGGTTTTGTGCAATGTAGATACTGTCATGTTCCAGGAGACAACAAAAATAACATTTTATGGGACAAAATATGGTCCCTATTACATACACACTTTTTGGGTTTTTTTTCTAACAACCTGAGTGGGTTTAATAGCACTTGACTTCTTTTTTGATT